AATATGCGGTCTATGATGGACGGATCCAAATCTGTCATCGTATACTTCAACAATCTTTTTAGATCGTGTTTCACAAGACAACACGGTATTTTCGATTCACTACATTCAATGAATTTCTTGAGTGAATGACATACATTTAAAATGCAGAACCATTTGAATATTATTTTTGTTTTAGAGGTTCATTATTCCAGCGAATAATGGGTTGACAAACAAAGAACATAACAGTAAGTATTCTAATATTCATGTTTAATAATATCTCTAATAAAAATATTGTTAGATATACCAGAAATTCGATTTTTTTCTTCAATCAACCAAAAGAAAACAGAATTTTTATTGAAAGACAGTCGTTCATTAAGTAACAGATAAATGTTCAAAAGCTCAATCCAAGGATTAACCAAAGAACATTATAAAAAAGTAATATTTCAATCATGTACATGATGATACTACCAGAAAAATGGATTATTTCAACTTTTTAAATCTCTTTCTATAGTCAATATTCATACAAGTTTGTTGTTATGATCATCGTCGTTTATATTATAATATTCATATTTACAATGATACCCTCTTTTACATAAAATTACTAATATTGATTGCATGCATTTTTAATATTAATAAAATTAAGTGAAAAAATGTCAAGACTTCGTCAATCTGAAGACATAAACAATATTAGTTGATAAAATCTTACTGAAGTCGAATGAGTATTTTTCGTTTTTCGATAATTTATTAATCTTTCTTATCAAATCATTATTACGAAATCTCTTCAAAGTCATGATGATCTCTTAAATGCAAGCAATTCCATTATCGATGGACCTCAATCCAACCCTTTTATTTTTATTTAAAAGAGAAAACTGTAAGTTTCTATTGTTTGAGACAAAGTTTATCAATAATCTTTAAACAAAAATCATTTTTGTTTGTAATATAAAACTTATCAGTGTCACCCCACGAGAAGCTAATATACCAAGTAAATGAATCAAGAAAAATTATATCAATTTTTATAGTTGATATGTACGCTCTGAAATATTATCCCTTCGAAAATGTTTCTACTTCGAATTATTATTCTACTATTGTTTTTTTCTAATGATAATATATACAATAGATGTCATAGGGAGCGCGACAAATATTTCATCAATAATACTATTGCTTTACCGATTGATACCTAGTAGAAGAATGTTTAGAAAGATTCTGGAAAGTTTCAGAATAGTCTATTGTGCCTTCTTCAGTTGCTCGGTATTAGATGAGAGAGAGTCACAAAGATTTGCAGTTTTTCAATATGATAAAGTAAAATATAACATTTTTTTGCAACTTTACTTCAATTTTTATCATTATAATGAGTTTTAAATCAGGAATGCATCTCACTACTGCTTTATTAGCATTCATTTTAATATATTCTTAAAAAACGAATGTTCCAATTTCAAAGAAACATATTTATTTCAGAAAATTTACAAGTTATGATCAAGATTTTCAAAAACTGTCGAGTCGTAGACGTTTAATAAAACAAGATAGTAGGATATATTCGTGGTTAAAAAGGTTTCTCAACAATATAAGTTGAAGTCAACATGGAAAAAACATTATGTATTCTTTGATGATATTGGACAAATGCGAAATTAAGAATAAAGGCAAACATGATAATCTCTGCTCAATAAATTGACTGCTCATGCATGATGTTTAACTTTCCTTTGTCATTCCTACTGTTGTACTATGTATTGCTAAATCACCTCTCTCTCTTTGTCTTCTCTTTTCGTTCTCCGTTCTTTTATTCTACCCTCGTCGCGTATAAACACATGTGTTGATGCATGAAAAAGAGGAAGAATTGCTGATATGAATCAAGGAAATTAAGCATAACTTCATTGGAATTAATACTGCTTCTGTCAAAAAGTTGTTAAACTTGGCGCCTCTGGCACTCTAAACTGCTCTTTTTTTCACGAATTTTTATCTCTTGACTTCATTTCTACTGTAGGTCACTTAATATTATGACTGAATCTAAAGTTACAATCGACGATGTTGTCAAACACATATCTTTTACCTTGGCACAACACGCGAATTCTATTTATCAATTTCAATAAACGATGGTTTCTGTCCGACCACAACTAGACACTGTTTGTACCGACTCTCAGCAGAAACTCTGTATACTTATCAGACGCATCTGATAACTCTTCTCACCTCGAAGGATAACTTTATGAACATAAGTGTCCGAAAGCTTACAATACTTTTATACTGTTTTACTTGAATTAAAAACTCTCTTTACAACTCGTCGTACAACTTTTTCTTTACCACTGGATCATCCTTGATCCCTACACACTCCAACCAATAACGATGCATCTTCACAACCTCGATTACCATTATCTACTTTCTCTCCCAAATCCACTGAACTTTCACGATAATTTTTACTTCGCGTACAGGAATATCCTCGTACGGTTAATCACTGGTCCCACGACACTGTGATTCGTGGTGTTTCTCTTCAAGCCATCTATACTGCTGCTGTCATACATGGGCGGCGCAGAGTTTTTGTATACGCTGAATCTCAGTTTCAGAGCATGGGATCCAGATGAAATTTATGGAAGGTGATATTGAGCCTAAATGCTGAGTTTTATTCAAAAAATTTTTGCGATCGAAGTTTGCGAAAAAATTTTTAAAAATCTTATTGCTACCCCTAAAAATTTTTTTGCTTTTTTGTAGTATTCCATTTTTTTAAATTCAATCGTAATCTACATCGAATTTCATCGACAGACTTCAAATTTCACCTAAAAATATGCATCCGTTCAGGAGTTATGACATTTTGAATCTTTGAGAGATGGCTCGACAATTTTCACAAAAATTCAAAATGTTATAACTCCTAAACAGATGCATATTTTTAGGTGAAATTTGAAGTCTGTCGATGAAATTCGATGTAGATTACGATTGAATTTAAAAAAATGGAATACTACAAAAAAGCAAAAAAATTTTTAGGGGTAGCAATAAGATTTTTAAAAATTTTTTCGCAAACTTCGATCGCAAAAATTTTTTGAATAAAACTCAGCATTTAGGCTCAATATCACCCTCCATGAGTTTCATCTGGGTCCCATGCTCTGAAACGGAGATACAACATATCCAAAAAATCCTGCGCCGCCAATGCTGTCATACGATGTGCACTGTTCTGTTTCATTAGGCTGCATATCAGTACTTTGCTGTTGAATATTACTCTTGTCAGATGTCTTTTTTTCAAGTTTCTTTTTAGCTCTATTCAGTTGATTCCGCTTCCTTTGGCGTTCGAGGCGAATCTGGCGTTGTTCTTCTGTTTCATTCTTTTCTTTTTGCATTGAACCTGAAATAATTGATTGAGCGGAGTCATTTCCGATGTTGTCTTTACTTGGTAAACGTCTACTAGGAGAAGATTGAAATTCAAGAATTCTTATCTGAGTAACAGCGTTATGCTTAAATGTTTTCTTTTCAGGAGTCTAAAAAGATTTTAAAATTCTCGAATTGTCATTTGCCGATGAATAATTTACCACAGCGAGTGACGTTGATTCATTGGTATTGTTAAATTGATTAAGAATAGCTGGAGACATAAGTGGAACAAAATGATTGGAGCTTCATGTGCCATTATTTGTCACTCGAGCATCTTTTTCGTCCAAGACGTGTGACCACAAATGTCATAACTAGCAATGATCGGTGGAGCAGGTGTAATAACGTTATCCCAGATTGTCATGTATTGTTGAAAGTCAATTTGTGGATAGATACTTCGTATATTACATCGAAGTACACTACATAGTGGAGCAGTTTCGTATAATTCAGAAAACGTATAATTTTTGCAAATAGCTTCGATCGCAATATCAATAGGCCCAACAAATTGTGAATACATAGTTTCATAATAAGTTTCATTTGTTACAAGTTCAATAATCGTCCGAACTAAACATTGTTTCAAAAGTAATTGTAGAATACCATAAATGAAAGATAACGCTGTATACCTCGCAATTCACTTGCGGCTACCGTTGGATCATTCTCATTAGAAGAACAATAGAATGGTATAAACAGTTTCCATCAGCAATGACTTTGACCGAAACACGATGATGTACATCACCAGTCGTTTTTTCAAAGTATTTCTTAGCTACCACATCTACGATGTGTTTTGTCTCATCGAAAACTTGAGTGGGATGAAATTGAAGTGGCATCAGAACTGGTTCGATCTACAATGTTTTGCTTATAATTTAATCATTAATCTAATAAACTCACTTGTCGAATTCATTGCACAACATAGTTGATTTCGTCAGGATACATGATACTTTCAGAGCATTTTTCCAAAAGTTGAAGCAATCGTGTAAACTTTAGACCACGATTCATTTGACTACATTGTGAACAAGAGTAACCCGTACACAATATGGTACAAAAAACACATCGTGTGTTCATGTTTAGGTGGAATCATTTCGTGTGTATACAATAATCTGAAGTATAACATATTTCTAAACTAAATCAGCTGCTTAAAACGGGTGTGGGTATGGGCGCGGTTGCGACCACTGTTTCCTCTCCAACGATACCCACATCTACACCCACACCCACACCCTGTCAGCTCAATAGCGATGAATCACTTTGAATGATTCATTCATAAGCCTGGTGCATACCTAAGTAGATCATCACGTGTTTTTCCTTTAGTCGCTTAGGTTGGATTATTTGAGGTGGCCTATCACTTGGTAACATCCATCTAGAAGTGGCCTCCTTATAAAGGAGTGTCACACATACCACTTACCACCACCTCCACTTACCAGGTAAGTGGTAAGTGTTGTAATTATCGAAAAATTATCGATATAGAACTAATAAATGATTATTTTAATTATAAATTTTCATTCTTGCGTAGTAATCTATACCACTTGCCGCTTACCAGTGATGGTAAGTGGAATATGACACCCCTAGTGTGGAACACACGCACAACCACACCCACTCATACCCATCCCACACCCGCCATCCTCCACCCACACTCACACTCTCGATTGTCGGTCTGATTGTGATACGCTCTTTTTAATATTTTAATGTTGTCGTCAACAAGTCAAAGTTTATCTAATTATTCATTAAATAATGAAATATATTGTCCCAGTATATTTGATAATCTCTGCTGGCCACAAACTCGTGCTAATCATTTAGTTACTATTTCATGTTCACCATTAACTATGCCAGGGGTTGACAAAAGCAGTAAGTATTTTCTAGTTTTTTAACGTTAGAAAATTTTTGCAATAATTTATATAGAATTTGTCACTCAACATTGGCTTTCAATGGGAGAATGGTTATCTGTCTCATATGAATGCTACATTTATCCGGATATATGGGATTCAATGAAGAAATTATATATATTAAGAAAAGTTCCTTTTTATGTAAGTGTTAATTTGAATTATAAATGTATCCACGGTTTATTTTCTATTTAGCCTTATACAGATATTTTTCAAGCTGTGGGTATTATTGAAATAATTGGATTATCAGTATCATTTATCAGTATACTTATTTCATTAATTATCTTTTTTAATGTGAAGTAAATGAATTTATCAAAAGAAAACTATATTTACTAAATTTTTGTTGTTTTAGGAATAGATCTCATTACGATAGTCATACAAAAATTGATATTAATCTTTTATTAACAATATTTATTCAAGTAATTGCTCGAATAATTAATTACGAGTATTGATTTAAATATTCATTGTGAATTATGTTAAACGTTGAATTGTTTTAGAATTCAAATGAAAAAATCTAATAATTCTTCACAAATAGAATCAATACAATGTGGTATTGATGGAAGTATTCATGTTCATGAACTTTCATCTATATTAAAAAAATGTGTCCATTAATTCTCATATTTTCACAATTTAGTATAACGTCTATGTTTATGTGGATGCTCTCTGAAGCCATTTATTTGAATAATGTAATAACATCTCGTGCATATCAGAAGAGTTCTACAACATCATATTTTTAGGTACTTAGATGGTGTAAAAATCGATTTTTTTCTTTAATTAATTCTTTTTCTCTATTTGTTTTTTTTTGTTTTTCTTATAGTTGTTCCATTTT